TCTCATCATCATTGACCGCTGATTGCAGAAAACGCAAGATTATGGTATTTGAGAATGGAAACATCTCCATACCTCACAACTCTGGAAGTAAAGGGGCGAAAGCGGGTGCATTCTTGATCGGTATAGGCTGAAAGGGAAGGCAGACAAGCTCTGCGATGTAGCACGGAGTACCGATCAAACGACATACGACAACGCTTGACAAGACACTTTATTGATGCACCATAATGGACCTAGGACATGAGCTCCCTAGTGCGATCACTTAAACGATACAGGAAATTGGTTATTTGAGCGGGCCTAAGGAGGCGAGAGGATCATGGTGCTCCAGTTGCAGGTCTTCCCGTCGGAGGAAAGTGAATACCCGGAAATGGTGACGTACCCGTTTCCGTCTGAGTGAGAAGTCGCACCGGAGCAAAGGGCGCTAACGCCATCAGTAGTCGCCGCCGTGATCGAGATATCGGTGAAGGTAACGTCGAAGTTCCAGTCACCGGTCTGCTGGCCGTCTAGCTCGGACTCGATGACGAAGAAGTTCGTATGCGAGTCGCATGCACAGGGAGCATTGAAGTACTCTGTTCTTCAGGTCAACACAGGAGGAAAGGATACTCTTTGTGACACATACGGTTAGCCGTAACGGTTTCGGTGACAGAATTGCCAGATCCACCACCACTGACAACATTCGCGGTCTGGGTCCATTGTCCTCCCGAAAAATTGACCGTACTGGTGATCTTGGCTCCCTCGTCCGCCCATATCCCTTGGCTGATGGCGCTCTGTGGAAAGATCAGCTATTTTCCCTGCACACGCCGGTTCTGAACGACACACCTGCCCATTGTTCAGACCTGAAGCAGGGACAGTCCAAAGCACCATCTTAAAAGAGTTCCAGCTTTCGTCAGCCAATACAAGAATACCGATAATTGGATGGACAACTTGCCTGATAAACATGAGGGAACGAGGCTTTTGGATTGACCTCGCCGCTGGGAGGGCTTTGGCCCCACTGCAATACTGGCTGGACAACTCCTCCACCCTCTGGTTCAAACCCTGCCCAGAAGTACCAAGGTCCAGTGGTCACCGACGAGTTCGGTCCAGGAGGAACGGTGATACTGCAACTGGATGAGAGGTAGTCAGAGCATGGTTAAATGCCTCCTCACGTGTAGGTCAGTGAGGTCCAGACATTGCCGTCGGGAAGAACTAATCCCAGGCTGATGGCGAGGGCGGGCGTACAGGCCAGAGCGAGGAGAGCAAGGCAAGAGAGCATTGTGAGAACCGCTTGAGCAGGGAGATCGAGCGAAAGTCGGTTGGATCTTTTCTAGGGCAAGCAGCGAGGTATTTATGTGTTCCGGTTCATCAGTGAGGATTGGGAAGCAAGTACCACCGGCCATTGCTGATGAGATGCTTTGAATGGGTTCATCAATATTAATGTGCTCGCGAACAAGGCCGAAAGAGATATCAAGGTCGGATAGACACCGATGAAGTACTGGACAGTGCTTGATGTTGTACCACGCTGAGCATTTCGTTGTTGCACGTGAAATATCAAGCGGAACACGAGTTTTTAAAAAGATCTCTGGCAGCCCAGTTGAATTGTTTATATAGTAGGGGTTGTTATACAGTTGCTTGCGTCTCACTATCGACCAAGCAATCGTTGAGTACGGTCCTGTCATCTGGAAGCTATTCATTGTGTGACAATGGGGAATACAAATGTGTTAGTCCTCACCTCGCGCACGAGGCTATTAGGCGGATGACTTTGTGATAGCAAACCGTTCCGTGCAGTCCTGAGCAAGCATTAATGGAAGCAGACAAGTGAGAAGCCTGGGGAAGCCCGGGCAGCTGAAGCAGAGAAGCAGCGGAAGAAAAGTAAGTGGCTGTGGGAGAAGAAAAAACGGAAAGTAAAGTTAGTGGCTGTGACTTCCAATTAAGGAAGGTTTCGACGCTCTCCAGGAAACCCCTGAAGCCTGTGAAGCCTGCGCGTGTCGCGCACCCCTGGACCAGCCCACGAAATCGACCACACGGCGCAGGATGGTGAGGATCAACCAGTTCGATTATGCCCCTACTATTGAGGCAAGCAAAAGCGTAACAGCGCAGGACAGGAAGAAAGCAGCTATAAGAAGATGCAAAGGAGTGTATCGGTCCCCGCATTCATGCGTCGCTGACCAAGCATGCACATGACATAGGCAAAATAGGAAACAAAAAACATCCGTTTCTCCCTACAAAGACCTGAGCCACATACGTGGCCCAGGGACTCATTGACCATCGTCTTGAGCCAGGGGAAACTATTAACTTACTACTCTATTTCCAGTCGGATCCTATACTCGTTCCTGTCTCCTGAATACCCTCTGGGCGTCACACATTGATCGGCCGAGAAACACTGACATGGAAACAACAAGCCTATCCATCTGTGAATGTTGGAAGACATGCTTTCGGCGAGAAGCACATGACTTCATTGGATCATGGCCGATTTCCAGGGCCGTGCTCAGTCACTTTCCTAGCATCGTCACCATCAGGTGGAGCCTCTACAGCATATGGTATTCATCACCAGTCGGTGGAAATGAAACGATCATGAACAAAAGCTGAATGCCGACTAACATCTATAACTAATCAATTGCCAAACTTCTTGCAAACAGACTCGGTCCTTTGCCCATCCGCCCCGGGCCGCTCCACGACCACCGCCATTTTCTTCAACTCATCTTCCTGAGCATCCTTCACCTCTGAACCATCCTCGTCCACTGGAAGAGGCGAAATGAAGTTTTCCCGACCAGAAGGAATGGACAGACAGATTGCTTCTTTTCGGATTCTCCGGGGTTTTCCGTTTCCTGCGCGTATCAAATGTGGGCATATCGGCAGCCGGGGAAGTATCACCAACAGATCTGCCGCCAGCCCGAGCTACTACCCCCCGATGAACGCCGCCCCTTCCGAGTTGGTGTGTTTGTATGAACCCTTGGTCCAGTGTTGTCGTCTATGCTGGATGAAAAATGAGCAAGGTGTGTTCGTAGCGAGGGGGATGAGTAGTTCTAGTGTTTGCGCAGTAGTGAGGCTGACGAGCGACATGGAACGGGAAGGGAAGGCACCGCGTCGCGTGGGTCGCAGATGTTGTTCTGCTCGAGCGAAGCGCAGGATTTCCCTCCAGAACGCGCTTTGGGGATGTATCGCTATATATGCTGCTTGTCGATGAGCTACATCGGTCAAAAAGGGGGTAGCGGAGCTGCGCAGCAGCAGCAGCACCGCCTGAAAGCCCTAGCTTCTACAACTCTGGAAGTGAAGGGTCAGGAGCGGTGGCATATTTCGATCGGTACAGGCTGGGAGCGGAGACAAAGCCGCTCTGGGATGCAGATCAAACAACATACAACAACACTTGACGAGACACTTTATTGATGTACCATAATGACCCTAGGACATGAGCTCCCTAGTGTCATCACTTCAACGATACAATAAATTGGTTATTTGAGCGGGCCTAAGGAGGGGAGAGGGTCATGGTGCCCCAATTGCAGGTCTTCCCGTCAGAGGAAAGTGAATACCCGGAAATGGTGATGAAGCCGTTTCCGTCTGAGTGAGAAGTCGCACCGGAGCAAAGGGCGCTAACACCATCAGTCGTCGCCGCGGTGAGCGAAATATCGGTGAAGGTAACGTCGAAGTTCCAGTCACCGGTCTGCTGGCCGTCTAGCTCGGACTCGATGACAAAGAAGTTTGCATGCGAGTCGGTGGCCCCGTCCATATTGAAGTACTCTGTTTTCTAAGTTAACCCAGAAGGGAGCTATACTCTTTGGGATACATACGGGAGGCCGTAATGGTTTAGCTGACAGAATTGCCAGATCCACCACCACTGACAACATTCGCGGTCTGGGTCCATTGTCCTCCCGAAAAATTGACCGTACTGGTGATCTTGGCTCCCTCGTCCGCCCATATCCCTTGGCTGATGGCGCTCTGTCAGGTTGTTAGCCATGCTCCCCCGCAGATGCCGTTTTGAATGACTGGCCTGATCATTGTTGACACCTGCAGCGGGGACAGTCCAAAGTACCATCTTAAAAGTGTGTCAGTAGTCTTCAGCTAATATAAACAACACCGACAATTCGATGGACTACTTGCCTGATAGATGTGAGGGAACGACGCGCTTGGGTTGACCTCGCCGCTGGGAGGGCTTTGGCCCCACTGCAATACTGGCTGGACAACTCCTCCACCCTCCGGTTGAAGCCCTGCCCAGAAGAATCAAGGTCCAGAGGTGACGGCCGAGCTTGGGCCAGGAGGAACGGTGATGCTGCAACTGGATAAGAAGCACTCAGTGCATGGTTAAATGCCGCCTCACGTGTAGGTCAGTGAGGTCCAAACATTGCTGTGAGGAAGAATCAAGCCCAGACTGATGGCGAGGGCGGGCGTACAGGCCAGAGCGAGGAGAGTAAGGCAAGAGAGCATTGTGAGAACCGATTGAGCAGGGAGATCGAGCGGAAGTCGGTTGGATTTTTCCCAGCGCAAGCAGCGAGGTATTTACGTGTTCTAGTACATCAGTGAGGAACGGGAAGCAAGTACCACCGGCCATTGCTGATGAGATCCTTTGAATGGGTTCATCAACGTGCTCTACCGATGTTGCCCTGTGTACAGGCCGGTGAAGTACTCTGCAACGGGTGCGACGCCGCATGTGGAACAATTCATCGTTGCACGTGCCGTCTCACGCCGAACAAGGGTTCTGTGAAGTATTGCTGGCAGCCTCATTGAGTTGGCCTTCCAAAACTTAATTGGATGACGGATTTCGAGGAATGTGCTTAGTCACCATCCTTGAGGGTCCATATGGCCTTCATCATGAGTCAGTGGGAATAGGATGTTCATGAACATGAGTCGAATGTCAACTAATACCTAACCGATCATGTGCCGAACTTCTTTCTGTTGAATGCGCCGGGTCCTTCGGTAAGCACGTCCGCCACAGGTCGCTCCACAACCACCATCATTTCCTTCATCTCGTCTTCCTGAGCTTCCTTCATCGGACCATCCTCGTCCACCTCCATAGCATCCTCCGCTCTACTCTTAGTCCCCCCGACAAAATCGACAAGACAAATATACTTGTAGCGCGTCTCCACTCGGAGGGGCGGTATCTCCTCCGCCGACTGGAGAGCCAAGTTGAACGCATCCGGATTCCCAGTGCGTTTCCGCTTCCTGTGCGTACTCGGTTCGTCCACAGTGGAAGAAGCGTCGGCCATCAGATCTGCTCTGCAGACCCAGCTGCTCCCCCAAATGAATACTTCGCCTTCTCCTTCTGGCTTGCTGCGCGTTGACAGCCCGAGGATGGGGTCGTGCCGCATTCCGAGGCGGGCGGAGAGCGCAGCACATGAGCGTTTGGTCACGTCGTCTAGTCGCCGGTATTGGAGGGAGTAGGAGTGAAGTGTGTTGTTAGCGAGGACGATGACAAGCAGTGCTGGGGAGGTGGGGAGGAAGGTGAGTGCTGTTGGGTGGGAAGGGAAGGAGGGTAGGGTTGCATAGTGTTTGAGCGTTCGGAGATCGTAGATGTTAATCAGCCCTGCTACGCCCAGAGAAGCGCAATAGTGCCCGTCTGAACTGACGACAATTTCGGATATCCATGATTCGGCATTTGCCGATTTTGGTGGTGTGAGCCTTGCGACTACGCTCAAGTCTGCCACATCCAGGAAGAGGATCGTCGACCCCGGCTGGCAAGACGGCGTAGTAGCAACAAGGAGGTGCGATGCAGAGGGTGTAAACACAAGCGCCGACGCTCCCAGCGTTCCTTCGGAATCGGCAAGCTGCTCAACGACAGTGGGTATGAAGCTCTTGACGCGTTTTGGGCGTATGTCTTCCTTCTGTTTGCTGATGAGCGGATGTCCCTAAAAGACGAAGGGGCGTACCTCGCCCAGGAGTTGCCAGAGCTTAACCTCTCCACCATCGCTCACCGCCAACCACGCCGGTTGTGAATCCCCAGGCTCGCCAACTGCTATACACACCAAATTCCCCTGTCCAGCAAGCTCCATCTCCAGCACTTTGTCCCACCCGCCCTCCTCCCCCTCTGATACAGTCTTGAGGTACCAGATCCCCACCGCTTGTTCACGCCTGCACACCACCCACCCTCTCTTCCTGAGCACGCTCATCTCCCCTCGCCTGGTATACGGCAACCGTCTATGCCAGCTCTCAGCCCAAGTAGCAGCTTTGCTCGTCTTGAGCAGATTGGCAACTGCACCCGCCCCATGCGCGTCTGTCTTCTGCACTGGCGCAGCGGGGGTGAGCACAGGTGCTAAGTCCAAGCCCCCACTGACGAGCACAGGGCAGGTGAGCGTCACAGCCCCCTTGGGGTGGGGGAGCATGGGCGGGAAGATGGAGAGTGCACGGACATCGTGTGCGTGCAGTCTGCGGGATGTGGTCTGGACCCACCGCGCCGGTTGGTGGGGGAGTGAAACTAGTGTGTGCTCGGTGATCTTCTGGTCTACTCCGGTGGTATATACCGTCCGTCCATTCTGTGTCGGTAAGCGTTGAGTGATACAGCTAGCGAGCAGAGGGAGTAGGACTTACAGGGCCGATGATCAAGGCGAGCACGTCAGCCTGATGACTCGCCAAGCTCTGCAGCTGCGTCCCGGTGCCCGAATCCCAGAACTTGACAGCGCCCATCGAGTCCCCACTAACGACAGTCCCGTCTGGCAAGACCCCGACGGCCCAGGCGAGTGTGGGCTCGTTCCGCGTTTTGTCGAGCGTGAGGCGGCCGAGCATGCGGCCTGTGCGGACGTCCCATTTTCGTAGGGAGGAGTCCGAGCAGCCGGTGATGAGAAACGTATCTCCCCACGGGTCTTCCTCCTCCTCGTCTTCATCATCGTCATCTTCATCGCTCTCCTTCTCGTTCGTGGTGCGTTTATCAGCCTTAGGTTTGAGCACCGGTGGCCCCCAAGCAAGGCTCAACAACCTCGGTTTGACCCTGTCGAATCTTCTCTCCAAGGCCAACTCCCCCTCCCTGAGGTCTACAACTCTCACTCCCCCATCCTCGCACCCCATAGCTAGCTTCGTACTTGCGGGATTGGCAGCCAAGCTCCAGATACTCCCCCCGCCCGACGGTAGGGTGCGTGTAATGGATAGGGAAGAGAGGGACCATTCGTACAGTTCAGAACCGGAGGTGGTGCTGAACAGTCTTAAGGAAAAGAGAGGAGGTGTATCCCACGGGGTTAAGGATAGAGAATCAGGATGTCGAAGTGTGAAAATGAGGTTGTCGACTTTCGACCCAGCGGGGCCATACAGCGTCTGGGGAAGATGAGACTAACTCCGGTAAAGGAGAAGCTACTTACAGCATGTAATATCCACGCTTGAGCTGCTCCTTCGCCGGCCCAATTATACAGCTCTATATTCCCGTTCGCGCGTCCTACCGCCATATAACCTGGTTTGATCTCCGTCTCCTTCTCGGGTTGCTTTCCTTTGCTGGGAGTAGGGAGTGCCCGGGGAGGGAAAGCGATTGCTGTTATTGCCCTTGGTGTCCAGTCTATGAACCGACATCGGTGTACTCGGACTGAGCGTGGTTCGTCCATCTTGCTCCAAAGAGTGAAAAGTGAAGAATATTCAACTAACAATGTTTGTGCAAAAGTCGTTTGACCGAAATTTAGACAGGGTCTACGGAGGCATTCAGAGAATTCCCTTTTTAGATGATATAATCACGTGCCGGTATTGCTGCGTATCAGTTATTGTCCGATTGCCAGCGTGTGCTTGTCCGGTTATTGACCGACTCCCACGGTATTCGGCGACCAATTCGGGAGTAGAGTTGTATATACTGGAAATATGGTGCTTATTCCCTTGGTGGATTGATACGTAGGGATGACGAGTCGCGGCCCTTTCCCTAAGCGCAAACCTCCGAGCACGTCTCCGAGCGCCAATTCCAACAACGTTCATTTTGGCCGAGTGCGCAGCAGTCCACTATTTGTACCTTCTTTTTCACAGGAGAACTGCGAGATGTAGACCAGAAAAGGGAATCACCGCCGACGCCGACAGGGACGCGGTGAGGTGCGGCGCGTCATCCCTGCACGTCCCTTCCCTCACACTCTCCTCCCATCTCCTCCATAAAAGCAGGGCATCAAGCTCATGTCCACCCCATCCACCCTCCCCCACCCCCTCTCACCACCAGCCGTTCTCCTCTCATTCTCCCTTGCCCTCGCTGCCTACCTCTTCACTTTCCGGCTAGGCGATATCATCAAGCGCTGTATAACGATGGGGCTCATCAAGATCTCAGGCGACTACTCGGACCTGCTTACCGTCTTCCCTCTACCTAAGACGCTCTTGAAGTCCATACTCCCTAAGGATGTGTATGACGGTCTCCTCCCAGTACCGGCGAACTACGGGCTCAGAGTACGTCTCCCCTATGCATCCTTTCCTGCATATATGCTCATGAGCAGGCCGACGAACACCTAGTGATGCTCCACCTCGGGCGGCAGAAGACTGGACCCCCATTCTACAGGTTCAATGCCCAGGAAGCAAAGGTCGAGATCCCGTTCATCGCTCCTCCTTTCTCGTCCTCGCGGGAAAAGGCGGTGCCGAGCGTGTACAAGCACTCTTTGTGGACGGACTCGCTGTTGTTAGCTACGAGCGCAAGGATGACGATGGGCCTGCGGACGGAGAAGGCCGTGTTCGACCCTCCTAATGCACCAGGTGACGCGGGGAGCCTGCGTTCTCTCACCGATGGGGCCGTGGAAGCGAAATACGAAGTGAAGGGGAAGGTCTCCTGGTTTGGGAGGAAGGACAAGTGGCAGGGAGAGCTGTATGCGCAGGAGAAGGAGACGGTCAGCACTGCTGGGATCTGGTGGTTTGGGGAGTATGCGGGCGGGTCGTTGTGCCAGGTACGGAACGATCTGCTTGCGTGTATGCGTGGCTAACGACGTGCTGCAGTTCCCAATGACCGCAAAGCGCGAGAACGTGCCATATAAAGCGACGATCCGCCTTCATCTGCCCAGCATCCAACTTGGCTCTTCCCCGCTGCCTGCAAGCCCGGCGCTCAGGGAGAACTATAGGATTGAGGGTGAGTGGCTTGTCCTTCAGGGGGTCACTACCTGGTGGAACGACGCTTCCTGGGAGTTGAACGGGCCACATAAGGCTGCCGAGGTGGAGAAGCAGTTGGCCAAGTGAATTGTATGCAGATATTGTGGTGTTATGTACAATACCCTTTGGCTGGATTCATGAATTTTACGAGTTCCCATGCGTGTGTATGCCAGATTAAACATGTGCATCAAGTAGAATACCGCGGTCCTCATCTACAGTGAACTAATCAGCATCATCCCACCCATAGTACCGCAAAGAAGGACTCACCACATCCCAAAGGGTGAACCCCCACCCCCTCCCGCGCCCCCAGCAGCAGCCCCGCCCATAGTCTGCATCCTCTCCCCAACTTTCTTGTTAACCTCGAAGAATTTTGCGACACATCGATCGATGCAGACGCTTTCTCCCTTGTTCAGGTCTGCCTCCGCGTACCGGGGGTTGATACATTTCGAATGACACGATCTAAGTATCCAAAGCGAAACCAAAGTGTCTCAGAAAGGACTATAAGAGATGGGAAAAAGAAGGGTGACGCACGAAACGATCCGGTTAAAGACGTCGGTTATCATGTCGAGCTCTGCGACAGCGACATCGAGGTTGGCACTCTGGGCAGGCATACCACCTCCCATCCCGCCGCTGGGAGAGTTTATGCTTGAGGAATTGGAGGAACCGCCGAGGCCGAAGAGTGACATTTTCGGGGGTTGGGTGAGGTGAGGTGAGGTGAGGTGAGGTGAGGGAGAGAAAGGAGAGAGGGAAAAGCTTCCGGAGAAGCGCCGGCGCCGAGACGCGTCGTCTCTTTTGGAGACCAACGGTCGTGAACGACAGTGATCTCAGCGGTTTGCTATGTATATCGAAGAGATCTATCGGCTTGTCATGAACTTCTGTATGGAATTTTGATGTCGCTCTCCATCTCTTATATGCTGTTATCTCTGTGTCTGTCTCGTTTGGCCTCTGGACGGAAATCGTTCCTTGTGGAAGATGCACTTTTCGGAGGCCCCCCTGTCCTTAGATTCTCTTCTGCTCGTCACAACCTCGGACCTGTCTTACCCGCGGAGCAGACGTTCTACTTTCTCCGTTCCTTGTCGTCATACTTGCTGTCCGCTGTCCGCAAGACCGTTCTCCCCCGCCCTCGAACAAGTGCGAATCTGGGGGAGGTATGCAGCGCCATGTCATGATGTCTTGCTGGCTGTCGCGCTCCAACTCCACTCTCTAGCATCGTTAACAACAGCATGCAACGTCATTCCTACACGTCCTGCACCCCAGAACACAACAAAAGAGGGTTCCTTTTCCATCCCTGTCTGCGCTATTTGTGGCGTCCCTCCAGCGCCGTATGTTGATTATAGTACCAGGATGCGAACCAAACTGCTAGTGTCTTTTTCAGGAAATACGCTCTCCCGCAACGGTCGTTCATGCTCTAAAACCAGACAGCTCATATCTCTCTCCCTCTCACCCCCTCAAGTTGGTATACCCAGACCCTTCCACTCTCTTTGCCTCTCCCTCGGGCTGCTGTCGCAGCTTAATCTAATCTCACTTGCTCTCTGGACATGCTCGCTCTTACACCCATCCTCCTCCTTGCGCTGAGTGTCACCGCCCATGCTCATGAGCGGCGAGCACACGAGCGCCGCGCAACGGTAGCTTCATCATCAGATTCTGCCCCTGCAGCATCATCAGGCAGCATGACTCCAACGGGTACCGTCACTGGTTCAGCGGCAAGCGTCACGCCCTCTGGCGCACAATCAAACTACACCATCAGCTTCGTCTCTACGAACCCTACCGCCATGCCCTTGACGGACATTGTCGCCAGCCCAAGCTCGACGGACACCACGTATCCCGTCTTTACGGCTTTTGCGGCGGGTGCGACGCCGCCTATCAGCGGGGCGCCGCCTCTTCCCACAGGTGCGCCTTCGAAAATCTACTGAATCACTGCTTACCCTGCGTATTAGATAACATCAACCCCCAGCTCTTCCCCGCGCTGGACCACGTTCCCCCCACCAATACGACCCAAGTTGCACAATGGATGCAAGAGCTCGACGGATACTATATCCCCAATTTCTCGCCAACTGTCCCAGGGGGGTGTGCTACCAACCCAGGCTTGGTAGGGAACGAGTCGCTCTGCTGGTGGACATGTGGACATTGTACAAGGGAGACGGACATCACTTCCTGCCCGGATAAGATGACTTGGGGCCTGAGGTAGTGCTCTTCACACACTCTCTGAGATAGGGGTGTTGACGTGAGAATCAAATAGCTACGACGACGGGCCCTCTCCTTGGACTCCAGCGCTGCTCAACCACATGCACCAGGAGAACCTAAAGTCTACGTTCTTCATCGTCGGGTCGCGCGCGATCTCCAGGCCCCAGATCCTGCAAGACGAGTATATGCTCGGGCACCAGCTTTGCGTGCATACTTGGAGTCATCCGTATCTAACCACGTTGACGACGGAGCAGGTGGGTGCAGGCTGCACTACGTTCGGGCTAGGCTAATGGTCTACAGGTGGTGGCAGAGCTCGGCTGGACGCGCGAAGCGATCAGGCAGATCACGGGTGTTTCCCCCAACTGTATGCGCCCGCCCTACGGCGACTTGGACGACCGTGTACGCGCTATCTCCCTAGCAATGGGGATGACGCCCATAATCTGGACATCGACGTCTAACGTCACATTTGACACGAACGACTGGCATATCCCCGCGGGGACGGTCACTGTCCAGCTTGTACTGGAGACGTTTGACGAGATCATGAACCAGTATGCGCCGAATTTGGACACGGGGTTCATCGTACTCGAACATGATCTGTGGCCGCAGACAGTGGATATCGGTATGCCCCTTCCCTCCCCTGCTCGTTTGAGCCCGCAGGCTAACGCAACACAGCGGTCGGATACGTCCTGCCCAACGCTTTGGCACAAAAGAAATACCAGATGATGCCCATCATCTCCTGCCTCGGGCGACCACTAGAAGACGCCTACGTAGAGACGAACAATAATGGGACCAACCCCCCCGCCGAGGCTGGGCTCACGACGTTGCCTGCAGGGTGGACGAGCACGCTTACGGCTGAGGGGGAGGTGCCGACGGGCAGTTTGCCCGGTAAGGGGGCCCAAGTATCGGGCGCTGGGAGAAGGGCGTCTGTTGGTTGCTTGTGGATGGTCCTGTTTGCTGTGGCTTTGATTCTCTGAGGTTGGAGTACTTATTTTCCTTATTCCTCCCGGACCGTATCTTTTTCTTTCTCCTTCAATCGTATTGCAGCCACTCAGCCTGGAGCCAGTAGCTTAGTTGACCCACGTAGTGAAGAAGCAAGTAGTAGACGGTTGTCTATACCCTTATGAATGAATGTCGTACGTAAATGATGTCGTGCCGCCCTTAAGGCACGAGGCGGTTGTCAGATACCATAGGGTGTGGGAGGATTAATGGTGTGGGAATAATATAGGAATTAAAGAGGGTGACGTTAAGTGGCTCGATGTAGCCTGACGATAGAAAGGGAACAAGCTTCTACTGAGGTAAGCCGTCGTGAAGCACCTTCCGAGTCCCACCTATCCCGCACAGATTTCTGGTCTAATTAGACCCCTACGCCGGATGTAGCAAACAGTCTAGTTAGACACTGTCTCACCCCTTTTTCCTCTCCGTGGCTGTCTCGCGGTTTTAGCTCCCAGGTGCACATGATTATGATTCCCCTTGACCACACAGGCCCGATCACCAGGCCACCTCCTTCCTGAACCCTTCCATCACCACCGCCTGACGAAGTCATCATGCCAGTAAGTCCTGGAGGGTGTTCTCATCCTACACAGCCGGACTGATGACTTGCAGACACTCAGGTGGATACCACACTGCAGTTGTCCGCCGGGACAGACATGTGGCCACACTGACCGGACTCCGGAGAGCTCGTAGGTGCCTTAGTCACCTAGCAGCGGAGAGAAGCTTACTCCGGACCCAGGACTTACCTCGCTCGGCTGGAGTATGAACGTCAATATGCCGCTGAACAGCGGGCTAAACGCAAAGCCCGTCATGATGCATCTATAGCCCGGATTCAAGCATGGAAGGTGGCGCAACGGGGGGGAGATAGCCCAAAGCCAAATAGGATTGTCCCCCTTTCTGGTCTGGACTTACTTGCGGCTGTGGCAACTGGAGACATTTCCGATGGATTGTAATTTCTCGAGTCACTTATAATACTGTAATCCCGTTCCAACACAATATTGTTTTACTCCGGAAATAAGCAAGAAATGGTTTACCACGGGTTCTGCGACCAGGGGCCCGGCCATTGCTGACCGGGCAGGAGTATTTGAGGACGTGACCCGGGCTGGGAGCACGTTACCTGTGGCACTGGGGCAGGAAGCAGACCGGAGAGAGGAGGTTGTTGAGTACATGACTGCCCCTCCGGAAGGGGTGCAGAAGGCCCGCTGGGGTTGATAGTCTGCACATACCGGGTGGCCAGTTCCTCCAGGGTGAGACGCCGGAAATGGCATCTCCCCTCTGCCAATGCAGCCTTAAGGACCCTCAGGTCTGCCACCCCGAGCAAGGAGGGGTTGACGAATGACCGGAGTGGCCAACCCTCCAGAGTTACGTGGAATGCATCTTCCACCGTGGACCGGAATCTGGCATACTGCATTGTCACGGTGTTATTTCCCATGATTGTTCCTGTAGATCTCTCAGTGGGCTGAACTGGGCATGGGGAAATCGGCTGACTCACATAAGCCAGACAGAAGTATGAACCGGACAGCTCTTTTCAGTTCTGTCTTCTGGTCCATAAGCTGGTGTGCCAGGCCTGGTTCTTTTTTCAGGCATCATTACGCAGTGAAAGACCCGGATTGACGCACCTTGGACCCCCAGATTAGCATATACATCGAAGTCCTCTGCCACCTCCTGAACCGGCTTCCAAAAGACCTGCCGGAAGAAGGACTCTCCCACCGTATTGCCGAAGAATTGGGGGAGAGCATGATCGTTTCGATCCCCTCGGATTGCAAAACCGACAATGTGCCCTCCAGTCCTTGTATAAAAAGCCTCGACCTGGAGCATCGTCAGACATAAATACCAGTCCAGACTGTGAATGTACCTCATTCTGGATGGCAAGAGTGGTGTGTGTCGTGTCCACCTCCCTTGCCTTGCGGGTAATCCGGACTTGATTGGTGTGCACACTCCGGTGTTGTTCCAGTAGTTGGCACCCCACTGCTTCCTCACCGGGGTCAGCTCGAAGAACATCCAGACGAGACTTCCAGGCATCAGCATCCTTCTGGATATCAAAATGTTGCCCTATAGCCAGTCAAATGACAGTAGAAGGCATCAGGAATGCTCAGCGTACCTCTTTCCCAGAACTCCTGTCTCATGAGATGCACGGCAACATTCTTGAGGTTAACCGCTCTTTGTTTCCGGAATCTCACTATATTTTGATGCCCCAAGATCTCTGAACACATGGCAGCAGACAAAATCCCCACTTCCTGGGCAGCTTTCCAGATGCTTGCGTCCAGCATATCGGACAGGTCTCGAGCTCGTCGCTTCACATGTTTGTGCCGGATACGGTTTTCTTGCCTGCGGCGTTCTCGATCAGGCCAGATGGATGTCGAAGGCTGGTCTGGCATGCTGCATGAGGAGACACCGGCGGAGTTCTGTATGATGTGTGCCGGATCGATAATGGGGAGGGAGAGACACAATGCGAGACCAAACATTCAAACACGTCTTCGAGGGCCACATGACTTTCCGGAGATGTTATTGTATTGCCAGGGACGTGCTAACATGTAGATAACAACCCATTCTGGGAGAGACTTAAAAAAAGGAATCCGGAAAGATAGAAACGGCATAGTGCCGGACAGGTAGTCTTTGTAAAACAAAAAAACCGCCAGGCAGAACGTAAACACAACACAACCAAATAGACATGGGGCAAGGTCCCATCCGGAGAACGCACGTCAATCCCAGGACGGGCTTCGATTCGCCGGGGAGTATGGGGGGGGCTGAAAGGGACACCTTCTCCGGAGCGCTGCCAACCATGTGTGCCCAGTTGACGGGTGGGACGGGCTGGGGTCTGGACCATGTCATTTGGCGAGACCGGACGATAGGAGGACGGAGCTTGGGCCTGGGGAGCATGGGCAGTGGGGCGAGAGGGTCCGGCAGCTTGACCATGTCCGGCAGAACCGTGGCTGCTGCTGGCGTGAGAGACACGACGCTCGTGCCCGCCGGACTGAGGATGGAACTGGGATGCAGGAGGAGGCCAGGTGTTTGTAGGGCGAGTCTCCGGTCTATTGTCTTCATATTGTTCTGGAATCCATGGCTCTGTCACACGTCCGGTTCTTTCCCATTCTTCGACCTGCATGAGACACAGGATCGCCATGAGATTGGTCAGACCAGTCCGGTTGGTTGTTGGTCGAATGTGACCTCCAGAGTGATCAATGGTGGGCTCCCGTCCGGACAGAATGTCGTCAATAAAACCCCGCCAGTGAGAGGGACGGCAGAAACACCAAATCTGGTTTATCTCAAAACTGGCTTCTTCCACACAGTCCAGGTGGGCCGGGTCGTAAGTCCTGAAGTAGTGCCGGACCATCGCCGTGAGCCTTTCTGGCACGGCAGGGAGATTTGTCGTCGGAATGGCAGAATACAGCCAGTACCGGGGAGGCCCATCCAACGTAACCGGATCAGCGAGGTCGAGAGGTTCTGCAATGAAAGTCGCTTGCTCCTCCGTAATGCCATATTCCGGGTCTCGACATTGAAAGGTTTGGGTGTGGTTCGTCAGGAGATCATGTATGCGAGTGGCCATCCGGGTGTTCACAATGTCTTCAATCCGGCGAAAGGTCTCCATTAGCGGCCCATCTGCCCAGGCGATACGCGAGATGATTGACATGACCGGAGGTTGTTTGGTTGGTCCAACGTGACAGGGCATGAGGAACGTCATGGTCATTCTGGCATTCAAGACTCGGTCCAAGTAAGTCACCTGTCTGGAATCAGTTCTGGGCATGTTGGCCGGATAAAACACTTACAAAGTCCAACATCTGCCGGGCATATTCCCTCATAAAAGAGTACTTCCGGCTCTCCGGCTTCCAGATCGATTTCCACTGGTGGACATTCATTCCAGTGCCATCCATCCCGTCTCGCCAGCAACCCGTCATCACCGGAGTCGAGGTGTCCAGCATGTCATACTGGGCCCAATGGTCGGTTTCGTTGTCGGGAGCCTCGATGGGACGCTGCTGAACCGGGAAAGTAGGGAAGTTCCAGTCATCAGGAACATACTGGTGCCCACCCCTTCGGTACAACGAAGGAAACCCGACCACCATCCCGTATGTCGTGGGGCGCTGGATGGTGACATCCAGATCGCTCTGCAGCTCCTTGAACCGGACGTAAGGTAAGGCTAATAGCCCAGATCAGTACGTGGTTTGCTGCCTGGAGGGTAATGTACTCACCGTATATACCCTCCTTCTCTATCTCTGGAACGTCAATGAAGAATTCACCCGGATTTGGGTTGGGTATGTTCCCGTTGATCTTGAGATCGTCGTCCGGGATGGGCGGGAACCACCGTTTCTTGCTCGACATGACCGGTTGCTCAAACGGTTTTCGCATAGCAACCGGAGTTGCTCGGAGATCGCCAGGACGGGGACGGAAAACTTGCTCCACTCCGGGGGAATGCGTCAACGGTGCCTGAGTCCAGGATGTGTCACGGCCAAGGATTCCTCCGGTCAGAATCCACTCCATATGCTGGGCCGAGGTTATTTTCGTGCCAGAGTTAACCGAATTTGCCATCCGGGAAGACATGGGCCTAGGGGCTGGCCCAGCTGCGGCCGGACGACCGCCACGTGGAACGTATGGACTGGAATGTAGACGCAGAGGAGTTGCTGGAGCACCGGAAATGAGTGCAGGGGGAGATGCCGGACGTCGAGGTGCAGAAGGAGCCGGATTGCGAGAAAATCGCGACAAGACACTTCCCAGCCGAGAAGGAGAAGCCAGAGGATCGGGAGCAGGTACACCTTGCGTGCCGCCATATGCACCCATTCTCTCCCCCGGAGCAACACACTGGCTGTGACGCCTCGGAGACCATGAGCCGCACATTGCCAGTTGAAGCCGGAGAATTGCAGTAAGTGTTATCCAGATTGAGGAGGAGGAAAGGGGTGGATGCCGGACTGATGATGGTAGTGAGAGTCAAGAGAACAAGGGGGAGGGAGGGGCAGGAACAAAATTGCGGGCCCACCACATGCAGAGCCCGGAATAACTGTGATTTTATCTCCGGTTTGACCTTACATCCATCCGGCATTCAAATTATATTATTATACCACCCAAAAAAAAAGGGAACCGGAGAGAGTATATCGATTTAAATGTCTGGGAGAAAGAAGTAAACTCGAGACATCATATTGGATGGTCTGGAACATGTTTGACGTGTTTGACCCGGATAGGATTGAACAATGCTCCGTTTGGAGGATGCAGTTACCGGATTGGGTTGTTCCTTACAGAAAAGCTTTCCCGGGGCATGCATGCATGGCCAGGAATTTCTTGTTTTTTTTTTTGATGTTGGGAAATTAAGGGGATGCACATAGTCTACTGTGTCTGGAGGTCATCATTAACTCAGACCTGGAATTGGATGGTATTGCAAATATCACATCAGGAGTGAAGAATTTATTTGGCTTCTTGACCAATGCATGTTCAACCAGTTTTTTACAGTCCACAAAAGCCTGGCAAATCCCTACTCAAATAGCAGGATAGTGAGTGTTGTGGGCGGCCTGGAACTGGTCTAGATAATGTTGCAACTCCTTTCAAGCATGCAGGCAACACTGTTATATTACCAGAACAAGATGAAGTACACCATTATCCAGAAGGAAGGAAGGATCTATTGATAAAACAGTATGTATGACAGTTCAATTAATCTACCTGGTACAGATATATTTATGCTGAATATCTCAGCAGGTACCAATCAGGTATTCATACTCATTGCCTCAAATACCTGCACAATGGTGTCCAGTTCAATCACATCCTCCTCCTCCTCCAGCACAATACCTTCCCCTCCACCCAGACCCAATGGTCCACCCAATGATGGTGTATCATCAGGGGTGTTTATTTCAGCCTCACCAAATGCACTCACTGCAGCCCAGTCATCATGATGAAGGGGCCCACAGTACCCAGGAATTTGAAAGAGCTCTTGAAGCCGGGAATACACTCTTGCATGTACCTTCTTCCAGTTGTCCAAGCAAAATGTAAGCTCTGCCTCCAGATTGTGATCACCAGAGCCAGCAACTATGTTGATTGCCTTCTTCCAGCACTGTGGTTCCTCCTCAATCCAGTTGAGGACTCTGCAAATTTCGACATTGAGCTGCCTGACCTCTGCATGGGTACACTGAATCAGGAGCCACTTGCTTATGAGCACCCAAACTGGAGGCTGCACCCAATGTTTGCTCCAGATGTCCTGGCACGAAAAATGCAGGATGGCAAAGTCAGCAACAAAGGCCAGATTGAGGATGTCCTCCATGGTAAGCTCCAGACGAGGAGGGTATACTTGCCATGCCAGCTTGTTGTGCCACTGCAGTGCAGTCCGGATGGCTTGGCTGCATGTCTGGAGAGCACAAGGAATTGCAGTGCACATTGCATACCCTGTAACTCCATAAGTAATTCCATCCAGAACATAGAAGAAAAATTACCTGTTCTGGCTATGTTCAGCTTCTCAATTTCGAATAACCATTGGACCACCAGAAACTCCAGGCAGTCCAAAGCCTTGTTGTACTCACAACAATGGGCCATGGCCTGATACCACAAATGCTCTGGATGATCTGGTGTCCAGGGATCAGTATCCAGAGCAGCTTTGTATTGAGCTGCAAGTGCTTCATACTCCCGGATGGCACGGAGTACTCAAACAAAGTCATGCTCCCATGCTGACTCAACATTCCGGCAGGGAGCAGATGTCCAATCTTCTGGCATGATGTTGATGAATCAGTCAAATTCCAGTTGCTGTAGTTTGTGTCTGGAAAACCATTAATTGAATGACAACCGGGGGGAAGTGGACATGTACCATTCCAGTTCCAATTCCTGCAGCATTTCCAGATACCAGAAAGCCATCTGCTCTTCCTCAGGTTCCTGGATCAGATCCCGGAAATACTCCTTTTCCTGCTGCAGGCACATCTGCAGATTGTCTGGACTGCACTCAAGGTTGGCCATGAGAGAATCGACTGCCACACCAGTCTGGTTGATGATTTTGAGTGCCTGTTTGTAGTTCTGGGCAAGAAAATCTCCTGGAAATGATCAGGAAAGAGTCTTCAGTAGCCAAAAACCAGACATGCACCCAACACTAATGTCCAGTCAGAATTCCACTGGCAATAAAACCAGTCCATTGTCATATGACAATGGTATGAAGAAGAGTGCCAGAAGAGAGGAGCAGTCTGGTTCTGCTGCCTGAAGACCCATTCACAGGTCTCAAAGTCTTCCAGACCAGCCACAGTTACAACCCAGGGGTGGAAACATAGTTGACATTGCCAGCTATGAGCATAGCCATGAAATGCGCCAACAAAGAATTGCATGGCTTTGGCCCAGACTCATTCTCCAATGAAGCTTTGCAGGACTGTATTGGAATGGGTACACCTGATGTTGTACCCAAAACCAATACTCCCATCCAGAACAGACAGACACTGATCGAGACATGCAATGGAATGCTTAGCCCTGATGAATGAATGAAAGATGTTCTGGAAAGATAATTTCAAATTAAGCACTTACTGCTCCCCAGTCCAAACCATGTTGACAGAGTACCAGATGAATGCATGGCGGCACACCATAAGGAAATGCCCAGTTTTGTGTAGTGCCTTCCAGAAGGTGTTGCCTCCTTCACAGGATTGGGCAGCTTTCCACTTTCTGGCACACTTCGAGAGGGACTCTTCAGGATTGACTGGGTTGATCCCTGCAGACATGCAACATGACTCTATCAGCCTCATCTGGAGCACACTAATACATATGTACCAGTTTTGGTGTGCCTGTCCTCTGATTGGTTGGTTCTGGCATGCTGGATGCCATCCCCAGCAAAAGCATCCACTTGACTGCTCAGGATCAGGTAGTTGCTCTTGTACACCCGGGGATCTTGAGTGCTGGCATACAAAAACTGTTTGCTGGAGTTGTTGCCATCACCACACATGAGTCCTTTGGCAAGGGGAAGACTGGGATTGTTGTGCAACTACGCAGATCCAGGTGAGTAAGATCAGCAATCTCCAGGCAATTGGGCTCACCATGGAATCACAGGCTGGACAAGAATGGCATACTTGCTGGTGGGGCAAGTCTTACCCCAATGCCTGGGCAACACAAGCTTCTACAGATACCAAGAGTAAGACATACACATCATATGCTTTGGAAAGCTGTTGCCAGAACAATTTGTGATATGGGATCTGGGGCAAATAATCAGCACTACTCTGGATGACAATATGACTCAAGGACAAACCCCCAGCACATCACATAAGATGTGGGCCCAGGCTTCATGGGACACAGATGCCCACACCCAGGCATGGTGATGAACAGCCATGACCTGGAGGTCAATGGCTAGTTGCAGTAAGTCTGGTGTACAGGCTAAAAAGCCATGCTGCATGAGAACCTGGACAGCAGATGTGTCTTCCAGCTGGCCAAAGAAGGTTTGCTGTTCCATGCCGGCCCAGGTGAGCATGCTCACAGTCAATGCCAGAAACTTGCTGCCTTCTAAGCCAGGTGAAATGGGCTGTTTCACTTGTTCAGCACACTTCCAGTGCAGGAAGAGCAAAACCAGGCTGGGCAGGAGCTCATTCCAAGTCTGGTGCAGCCACCTGAGTTGTTCAGAGTGCACCTTCATATCACCTCAGGTCAGCTGTCTTCTAGAAAGGAATGAGTTAACACTTTCTAATCCGGATAGCAGACACACATGAGCTCTTGCCAGGTCTCCCACAAAGGATCCTGTGCATCAGGCTCATCCTCCATATCAATGTTGATCCAGTTTTCCCCTTCCTCCCCTGGTCTGGAGATAGCATCACCAAGTTCTGCATGAAGAGCTCTGGTAGCTACTGCTTCATCCGGTTGAGCTGTGAGATTACTTGTTAGACTGGTCTTAGGTAGAAAAAGAAACACCTCACCCAGAAATCATGCATGCTCTGCTGCCCAGAGCTGCTTCTCTCACTCCTCCAGAGCAGTGAGACCAAAGTAATTGTCCTGATGACAACTCCAACCCATGTTCAAAGGGAGGTCCGGCTGCTCAATGGGATAATCGCCCCAGAGATAGTCTTTGAGGGTAGGTGTGGTAACAGGAGGGGGCTTGCTGAGGACTGGGTGAGGGTGGAGCATGGGCGCAAGAGCAAGGCAAACTCCATGCTTTTGTTTGCCAGTTTGTAGAGGTGAAGTCTGGTGGGTACCATGTTGGCTAGTGCCAGCATGCCTGTGTTGATGTCCTTGACCCAAGTACTGGTCAAGGGTGGGGACACTGTTCATCCTGGGGTTGCTGTTCTGGAACAGCAAAGACTGGGGGAGAGGACATTGTCCAGTGCAGAGGGCAGAGTTCAAAGCCACACAGTATCCATTTGTTTACTGGATGGCAGATAAGGCATCTAATCCAGAGAAGGCATTGCCTTAGATCCCTGATGCACCACGGTGCTTCAGGAAGCATTCAGGGCTGCGGACAGACACCAGATGGACTTTTTGGTGGACAATCCGTCTAATTAGACCCGATGACACACGCTGTCCAGGGGTCTAGTTAGACCCCTAAGTGATGAGGACCCGGTGCCGAGTCCAAGGGACTCAGTCCCTCACCTCCGAGGCGTGGACGGCTGTCCCGCCTCTTCCTCCTCCTCTTCCTCCTCCTCTTCCTCCTTCTGTTCATCTCTCTCACACTTCTGTTCTTGCGCTGGCGCTCTTTCGTATTCCACTTTATCTGGACATAGCCAACATACCAATTGATATTGGTGTATCATATCAGTACATTGCCCTTCGGGCGGTGGGTCAGCACGGTCTTCGGCTATAAGGCATTGTACAGCCGACCAGCACCGGTCAATATCAACCCAACAGTGCCGAAACTCGCCTCAACTGCTATAAGTTAACTCTGAAGGAGCGACGACGAAGGCAAACTGCTTCACCCCCAGATAAGCTAGATGATTGGAATGCGTCGACGGTCCGTGCTCCCTCCCCCGACCTCGTCGGGTCAGGTATTCGACCCTCGTCCTCCCCGTACGCCTTCCTTTCTCACTTCTGTAATATTCTTACTGACCCTACACATAGCTAAAAACTCCTTGTTCTGGTTTCTTAGTCCTGCTCCTCGAGTGCACCGACCCCGTCCTCGCATAGAAGAAGCAGAGGGTGAAGAAGTACTCGACATCTCCTCCTCGCATACGCCTAGCGAACCAGCGGACAGAGAAACCAGAGAAGTAGAAGAGGAGAAGGAGAGACGTAAGCTGAGGGAGGAGGCAGCAAGGAGCTTAGGCTGGGGCCCGGAGGATGCTGGCGCGGGTGTGGCGGTCGTGGAGGAGGGAAGTTTCTTGAAGATGGGCGAGGTGGAGGAAGAGAAGGCGAAGAGTAGGAGCAAGAGGCAGTCTATCCAGGCTCTATTCTTGCCTTCCCGCTCTCCCGTACCCGCACCTTCTCCCTCCCCTGGTCCGGTACCCTCCTCGACGTCTACCACCAACTCTCAACGAATCCGATCCCCCGACCCGGTCCCTCCCTTCCCCTCCCCACTCGGCGCCTTCACAACCCTCTACTCCTCTTCGATCCTCTTCCCTCCTGCTCCCGGATTTTTCGGGTTCCGCAAGCCCCGTCCACGGCTACTACTCCTCTCCCCACAAGGCTCCCTCCACCTCTTCCCCGGCCGCTTCCCCACTCAAAAAGAGAAGGAAATCTCCCGACTCTCCCTCCACCCCGGGGGGAATATCAGCGCCATCCTACTCGAAGGCGGACGGATGAAACAGCAAGAACATATGCTCCGTGTCGAGGGCCTTTCCCCCGATGGGATGAGGGAGACCTGGGTCTTCGCCTGTTTGTCGAAGCAGGAGATGGGCGAATGGATACGGGTGGTCGAGCGCTTCCTCGAAGGGGGCTCACTTCTCCTTCCTGCAGCTGCAGGGGGAAGGCTGAAGCAGGATATCCCAAGCCCGGCGGTGAGCTACCCGAGCGCATTCGCGCCGCTGTCCCCTTCCATCCCTGAAGCCTCCGAACCTGTATCCCAGTCTCCCCCAACACCCCCTCGCGTGCCTGCCGATTATCCACCAATGCCCCACCCACCAGTAACAGCGCTTCCCTTCGCCCCGAAGCCTTCTCCTAGGCCGAGCACGGACCCCAGCAAGCACAAGAGCTTCATCGCTGGTCCGCCAACTATCGACCCCAACCGGCGTCGGCCCCCTGTCGTCCCCTCCCCCTCTCTTCCCTCTCATCCCGAATCGCATACCCAAGACCTTGGCCAATTAGCCCAGCTCGGCCAGCACCCATTCGGCGCCTCCTCTACCTCACTCCGCGACCGCGAAATCAGGGAAAGCCTGCCTCCCCTCCCTCCTCCCCGCCGGCCTAGGCCGGGTAGTATCAGCGGCCGCCCGCTGAGTCCCTCGCCAAGCACATCGAGCGATCCCTTCTCTAGCTCTCCACTCCCCTCCCTGCCCGCGGCTCCCAAAGAGTCACATATCAGCACGTCCACACATACTCACTCTCCTCGCCGTCGAACACCAAAACGGCCCAGTACAGCCCCCAGCTTGGGCAGCCCATCTGGTACATCTAGCCCTCTTCCGCCCCTCCCGCTTCTACCTACGAATTCCGGTAGCCTAAAACGCAGAAGCGGTACCCTTCCACCGCTCTCCCCCCCTCCCAACCACCCCATCCCCGCTTTACCAACCGAACCGCCCCTAGTCGAGCGAAAGAAACCCGAGCGCAGGGTCTCAGCGTTCGCCGCTCTCCCCGGTCCACCAACGACGAACGGCACTGGAGGGTACATCAACGGCACACGGTCGAGACCGGGCAGCGTGAGCAGCAGGACTGTGAGGCTGTTGCCTGATATTCCAGCGCAGGAGCTGGTAGGGCTGGGGATCTCGAGCCCAAATCTTCAACGGCGGATGACTCCCCCTCCCCGGCCGCCCCCAACTACCGCTCTCCCTGCATTGCCTGTGAACCAACCTGCTCTGGAGAGCGAACGCCCTGGGGGACTCAGTACAAGGGAGAGGAGGAAGGTACAGAGGCACTGGTCCATGCCTGCTACGACTACTATGGCCGAAGGCCCGTTTGCCCTCACTTACAGTCAGGGAGAGAACATCGTAGGAGACTCTTTGGGGGTCACTTCAGAGCCGGTGGAGGATACACTTCGCCCCTTGCGGGAGACTAACAGGACCCGGAGCACTGCTACTCTGGCCGACTCAGGGGAGAAGATCAGCTCTGACACGTCGCGGAAGATGGGTGAGAGCTTTTTTGACCATTCTCCAGAGCTGGACCAGGAAGAGTTTGGAGAAAAACCTCCCAGGGCGAGCTCCGTACTTTTGGGGGACGACGCAGACCGGTTTTGGAACGATGCCACCGTATCCAATCGTCCTGGCTCTGAGATTGAGAAGGGTGTTTCGGGCGGTGTTTCGGGCGAACGCTGCGAGCACCCGCGTCAGGACTCAGTGGAGATGGCGAGCACCAGCACTAAGACGAGTTTCGAGGTGCAGCCGGTTTCCTATGGCACTGAATTCGAGCGTTTGGAGATGCAGCCTGCCAAGAGTTCCGAGACTGTTACTGAATGAAGAAGGTTCCAGAACAAAGAACTTGCTGATATGGCATTTATGATGATGATCCGGCATTGAGGCTGTAACCGGTCAAAACTTGCCCGCTGTTTTTTATGTTTTGCTTAACGATATTTTGCATATTTGCGATCCACTGTATTACTCCCTCATGACGTTTCTGTTGTAGCACTTCGCCTCGTACACTGCAATATACATCGTGTGACACGTGATCTGTCATCGCCAGTTTGCCGTAGTGTGTGAGCATATACCGTTTTGAAACCGAGAAGCCTCCTTCTATAGGGGAGGCAGAGGGGGAGTTTGATGAATGAATACATCACGTGTCCTGTGATCGGAATTAGCGCAGGCTATGTCAAAAAAGGCAGTCCCCATGTCCTGTATCAAACACTCTCCTGGCCGTGCATCTCGATTTCGCCCATAGAGTTACCACCGAAGCTATGAGTGCACGAAAATGCATTGTGCTGCAAGGTATAAAGGGCGGCTCTGTGCAACCTTCACCGCCAGTCATCCAATCCCACCCAGTATTACAATGCTCGCTGCTCTCGCTCTGCTCGGTCTCGCCGCCACACCCGCGCTTGCAATAAGCATGCAGCTCATCCTTCCAAACCCGAACGTCTGGACGCAGATGAGCTACACGTAAGACGATGTTTCTGAGCGCCACGTCCTTTCTGACGCGTTGTTAATAGTGTCACTGTGCCCGCTACGTCGCCGGCGAATGGGACACAGGGTCCTATATACTTCCTCGGTGCCCTTCAGGGTTCTGGTGGCCATGGCATGCTTGCGCCGACGTTGCAGTGGGACGAGAAACCTGGTAATGGCTTTGTCAACCCTAACGTCACATTTTCGAAGGCTTGGTGAGTCTCACGCAAAAAGATCTCCTACCTTACAGAGAATTTACGCCGGGAACAGGTACACCGCCCTTTGGATGGAGTGTGCTGACGACGCGAGCGACTGTGAGCCTGTGACCAGCGAGGGTCTTTACGCGGACCTAGGCGTCCAGATCCGGAGCACGGCGACGTATGACAATGGCTTCTGGACTCAGAAAGCCGAAGTCATCTCTGGTGGTGGTCGGGGGGTATCAGTCAACCAGACGATCAGTACTGCTTGTACGTTTCTTGCACCCTCCAACTGAAGCACTTCTCCTGATTCAAAACCGAATGTAGTGTCCTTCGACACGCAAAACAGTAACACCAACTCTTTCCTAATCGAGTCTTTCGTTCCTGAGTCCAGCGCCTGGAATTTCAACGTCACATTCACCGACATCTCCCTCACCGCGCAGAATAGTACCGGCGTAGCATCCCTTTGCGGAGGCGCAACTTCGCAATCGGACGGGAATGGATTTATTACCATTAATGGGTTTGAGATGTCAAGTGACGGCCTCACCTGCCACTGGGATAGCATGACTCTCTCTCCTCCTTGAAACGACTCGCTATGAGATAGTGACATTCTCTATATATATGTACTTTACAAATAATAACTCGCAACTCATTGAAGTATTTCCTGTCTCGAGGAACAGCGCCCGTTGCTGTCAATTCCCATTGCAGAGTAACGGCAGACGAAATCTAACCAGATCTCACCTGGCGCATGAAGCTGCAGCGCATATCCTCGCCGGACCTCGTAATCCACCTCCAACGCGCTACGGTCTAAATCGCGCTCATGTCCATACCAAGCTTCTTCGGAGTACCCTGTGCGTGATCTACTCTTCTGAGGGTTTCATATTGTCTCCGCAAGTTCGGGCTATGTCCTGAACAGCAACGTCCATGGGAACAGCTTGCACCTCTTTGCAATATTTGCTGATCAGTTCAAATATTATCGAGCTTTCTCCTGACCGTCCCGAAGTCTCGGTCATGCCGTATGTGTGCCATTCCATGCGTAACCGCATGCGCTGTACCCCTACTCTGACGCACTATAAAAACGGCGTGGTGAAGACCAGTTGTTCTAGTCAATACGCCACAGTACAGTATGTTCAGCACTCTTCTTGCTCTCCTCGGTCTCGCTGCTACACCAGCACTTGCAATCAGCCTCGGGCTCCTCCTCCCAGACCAGAACGTTTGGACACAACTAACCTATACGTGAGTAGTACGGCGTTGAAGGCCTGCATCTTACTGACACTTTGCGTACTGAACAGCATCACTGTACCTCCTCCTCCCCCGCCGCCCGTCATATCAGGTCCTTGGTTCTTTTGGGCTGGTTTCGAGCTGCCTGTCGGCGGTGTCCTTCAGCCCGTTCTGCAATGGGGTGAGGACCCTGCCGATGGTTGGGTGAACTCTGACGTGACCTTCCCCAAGGAGTGGTGAGTGTTGTGCATTCGTGCTGCTTTAGATGCTGAAGCCGATAACAGGTTCATGGTTCTTTGGACAGTATGCGATCAGGATAAAAACAACGACCAGAGCGCCATCAGCCAGGGTGTCTATGCGGCCCAAGGTGCTCAGATCTTGAATACGGTCACATACGACAACAACGGCTATTGGACCCAGACAGCGGAGGTCATCTCTGGGGGTGGTGCAGGAGCATCCGTGACCCAAACCATAAGCGCTGCCCGTACGTTCTTCATCTCTTCTACTTCATCATGCAGTATGACTGATTCAAGACCAATTCTAGAGTACTTTGACACAGCTAATATGCCCGCGTCCGGTGCTAACGCCTTCGTGATCGAGTCAGAGCTCACTGGTGGCCAAACCGGCGACTGGGACTTTGACGTTGAGTTCACCGACATCTCCATCACCGCGATGACAAACGACGGCGTCTCGATGGCTTGCGGCGAGGTAAATTCTCGCTCGGACGGCAACGGATTCATTACCGTAAACGGTTATTCACTATCGAGTGACGGCCTGACTTGCCATTGGGACAGCATGACTCTGTCTCCTCCCTGAACAATTTACATTACCAGCATGTTAAAAACAACCCACATTTCCTAGCTTACAAAATCGACACAATGTTACATTCGAAAGTAAATAGATCTGCCAAGTTGGTTGCATCATATTGAGGTCATGTTTGTGATGCCCAAAGGTTTTCGTTTGCTCAACTCTCTTCCTAAAATAAGAACTGTATACCATACGTGTCGCTTGGCGCTGGTAGGCCAACTCAGGTCCATTGTCCCCTTCAGTGACGCGGTACACTAGTATCGTCCGGAGCCCGACTCAGCCATGTCGTGTGGTTTTAGGGCCTCCTGTAGTTGTTTTGCATATGTGGCCGTTACATGTCCTCAACCATGTTAGCGACTCAGGACTCGATATAAATAATTGGTAACCACTGCAACAGTGCAAATGTCCTATCAAACACAGAGTCCCGCTCCCGCTACTGCTGTCCTGGTGAAGTCCGCGATGCTCGGTCGGTCTGCACACGGTCTCTAGGGGATAGACTGCGCACGTAGTCACTACATCATCCCTCTCGAAGCAAAGCTGTTTCGAAGGGAGGATTCACTCCTGTTGTCACCGAGACATCACATACTTCAGCTTGGTCAGACCGCAGGTGGTCAGACTGCAGACTTCCGAGCCATGCCCCATAACTGTTTATCGACACTCTCCTCCACGAGACTGCGAAATACTCCGCCGTCTATTTCTAGCAGCCTTGTCGGTGTGTCGAACTCCACAACTTTGCCAGCATCAAGAACCATGATTCGGTCATAGTCGGCTATGGTTTGCAAGCGATGCGCGATGGTTAAGCGTGTGACATGCTTTAATTCGGATCTAATGGATGCTTGGATCACACCATCAGTCGCAGCATCTACGGCGGCAGTCGCTTCGTCGAGAATAAGAACTTTTGTGCCACGGACAATCGCTCTTGCCATAGCAATGATCTGTCTTTGTCCAACGGAGAAGTTGCCGCCACGGCTGGTCACGATCGAGTCAAGTGTGATTGCATCCTCCGGGTTCTCTGTTCGGAGACTAAAGAGCCCTGCTGCTCGGAGTGCGTCATTGAGGACATGATCGTCACACTGAGAGAAAGGATCCAAGTTTGACCGAAGACTGCCGGACATCAAGGCAGGGTCTTGGGGGATGATCGTTATGTTGGCTCGAAGCTCTTCGAGGTTAATCTCATTGGTGGGAATTCCGTCGTAGTATACGACACCAGTTGTGGGTATCATGCGCAGGAGAGACAAAGCGAGAGAGCTCTTGCCGCTTCCTGTGCGGCCGACTATACCGATTCGCTCTCCGGATCTGATTTCGAAGCTGAGCTTGTCCAGCACAGTCGGCCCATCCTTGGAGTAACTATAGTTCAATTAGCAAACGAAAAGGGGACAGTCTTGTATGCATACCGAGCACATAGATTTTCTACCTTCATGGAGCCAGACGACGGCCAGTACGCGGGCGGCTTGCCCTTCTCGGTCGAGACAGGCTCTTGCTCAATGACCAGGTAGTCAACAATGCGTTCCAGGCTATTACCTGCAATGAGCACTAGGCAATCAAGAGATCAAGACGATAGCTGACCTGTTCGCTGCGACATCGAATTGGTTGAGATTCAAAATCCACGAGAACGTCATTCCAACCATGCCAGCACTCATGTTCAACTAAGTCAGGTTAGAGTGCTTCCCTCCCCGGCAAAGGCATGAACTTACACTAAACTGCTCATGGCATGAGAACGTGACGGATACCAGGCCAGGAGAGTGTGCTTACACCGATATTACCCGCCCCTACATAGACCTTTTGGTACACCAGGTATGATGCTAATGCCGCGGAGAATAAACTACCCAGTAGGACAACTCGAATGGAAATCCAGCCGTCGAGATTGTAGAATGTCCTGGCCGACTGGGAGTACAAGTCAATTCTTCTCAAAAGCTCTGCTTCGAAAAAATGCTCGGCGCCATATGCGCGAAGAGAGGCTGCAGCATCCGTCATGAGTTCCTATCAAAATGGCGTCGCATTATCACGCACTTAAACCAGCAATGGCGGCACCAAAATGACTGTATAGAGGAGAGCGTCGATTTGACATTTGGCGCTACGGAGTGTGAGAAGCGGATCTGTGCTCCACGGCTATTTCGTACCTTGATGGCAAGTTGAGCGGCGCTGAAGATCTGTCCAAGACAGCCCCCTATCACGATAACGCCTATACCAGGAATCGTGAAGACTGGAGAAAAGTAGATCACAGCGGCGAACTTGGTAACCATCGTCCACGTCAACTCGATAAGACGCATGGAGATTTCGGCCAGTGGTCCGTCCATTTGTCGCATGTCCTGAGTGAACCGCGACACAATGCGTCCCACTGGTGTGCTGTCCAGCCAACGAAGAGTGGATCCGAGCATGGCATGTACTAGGCGATCATGGATTTTCCTGGCAGCCCGAATAGTGCCATAATTGAAGGTGATGGACACAGTGATGTAAAGGCTTACATAGCCAGTAACAATGGCAGTGTACACGCCGATGTAGCTGTGCAAGATTCGGTCAAAATATTAAAACATGACCAACGTGCACTCACTATGGCACATTGACTACGAAGCCCCCAGCGTCTTGTCGTACATACGCAGAAGCCCATACACCAAGCCACCAGGTAGCGCTGGACATTCAACCTGTTAGCGTATCCGTCAAGATGGGGCCCTTCGGACACACTCACAGATTCTGCGCCATCTCTACAAAGAACACACTGATGAACACGAAGGCCCAGAAGCCACCTTGGCCAAAAGAAGACAAGAAGATATAGACTAGATGAGGGATTCAGTTTCAGCAAAGCCTCCAAATGCTACCACCCACGGGCTTTCCAACTCAGGTGACCCACGGCTGTTTCCTCGGCCAATACAAGTTTACCATCTGCCTGTTTCACTCGTTTCTCTGTCCTGTCCAGGTCCTCTTGCTTCCGTGCCTTTTCCAATTCTCTGAGGCTTTCCTCCATATCTTCACGCAAATGAGCATCATGGGAAAGGACTTGCTCTATGCTCCCCTGGCCGATAACCTTGCCATTGATGTCGAGAGATATGATATTTCCTGCCACAGGTGCAGCAAGCGCTACGTTATGAGTCTAGTCGGGCAGTGAGCAATATCGGACAGATGTTTGGAAAGCATACACACGACAAGGAGAACAGTTCGACCCTGAACGAGCGGACCCCGGAAACATTTGTCCACGATCCATTTTGAAGTATGGACATCCAGGGCAGACAGGACGTCGTCGAGTAAAAGAACCTTCGCACGGGAATAGACAGCACGAGCCAGGGTAACTCGTGCTTTCTGGCCGCCAGAGAGTGTTAACCCCTTCTCGCCGACTTCAGTTTGATCACCGGCATCGAATAATGCTAGGTCATGATCGAGCGCGCATTGCTCAATGACTTCGTACTTGTTAGACCTAACTGTGTAAAACTAGGAGAGATATCTCGCACCGCTGTTATACCGCTCTTCGTCAAAAGGCTCGCCAAATATGATATTGTCCTGCGTCATGTTAGAACGGTGAACAGCCCCGGGCAGTGATAGATCACCCTAATCGTCTCGTTCTGCACCCACGATTCCTGCGCAGCGTAGGCAATGCCCTTCTCGCGTGGCGGATGAAACCACGCATCTGGCCCCGATGGCTGGAAGTGCATCTCCCCCAGTAGCGCCATGAAGATCGACGTCTTACCCGATCCTGTCGGTCCTATGATCAAGTTGATAGTGTTTGGCTTGAAGACGAGGTCATCCAGATGTAGACGGAAGTTGCGTCGACCGGGAGTTGACACGTGGGGCTTGATGTTGTGCCAGGTGAAAGTTGCGTTGTGGAACCCTACGACTTCGGGCTCAGGGGGCCCACGGGCGATAGCCACCGCCGCAGCGCTGTCTGAGGTGTAGCGATCTAGTAGTTCGGTCTGGGGCGATTGAACAGAGTCTTCCGTCATTGAAAAAGGTGAACGGACCTTGTGGAGGAACTCATTGATGCGATCCAATGACACCCAGCCGGTGACGATCGAGGGGATGCGGGAAAAGCAGAGGAAGATCTGGTAGCGCAAATTGTCGAAGACGACGATGCTTGAGAATAGTTTCGACGCTGTGAGCTCATATCCTAAGACGAGGGACTAGAAGCTGTCAGCGTATGTTGACGAGGGAGGGCGCAACATACGTAAACAGCAAAGGTGAGGATCATCGCCACGATAGGTATGACAAAGCTGGTCTCTGCTTAGCGCCTCAACTGGGGGAGAAATCACGACGCACTTCAAGTTGGAATGGAGGACATCAACGATGAGCGCCTGGTTGACATATTTGAGCTCTTCGCCGCGCTTCTCCGCGATCTGGGTCTTCACTCGGCCCTCCCAGCCAAACATCTTCACCATGCGCAAGACGTTCAGCGCTGGTCTCGTCAGCCTCGTCCAAGCCGATGAGGAGGGTGCGTACTCTCGGAAATAGCCTGCACGCGCGCGTCCGTGCGCTTCATCCGTTCCGTCTGGATGGTGTGGATCCACCGGCCTACAATCCCAGGCACAGGAATACACAAGAGCATGAACGCTACGCCGATGACGGCTGCCCAGCCAAGGATAGCGTACAGGAACCACAGGCTTAGGATAAGCTGGAGCGGAGCTTGGAGAAGGACAAAGAGGAAGTCCCGGGCACCCATCACCTTGGAGTGTGTTAGATGTTTCCCGCATGAGGGTGGGGACGCACGTTGCCCAGATCCGTTCCGATCAGAGTGTTGATCTTCCCGACAAGGTGCGAGCTCTCCTTTGTGCCCTGGACAGGCTGAGCTCTTTGCTTCCCCTTGTCGATCAAGGCGGGCGATGATCGGGAATTGTCCGTCTGCGTCCCTACAGTCGTCTCTTCAGCACTGGGCGTGCTCTCCCCCGAAATGGCCTCCGAAGAAGGCGCAGAGACAGAGGGCTCGTCAAACAACTGGATCCTGAGTGAATGCTTGAACAGGAGCTGCATGAGCACGCTCTCCAGCTGCACGAGTAGGCGCGTCTGTTTTTGCGTCGGTTGGCTTCGCCTTGCCTTGCAGTGAGCGGGGTGCGTACGGTCAGGAACAAGTACGTCTGGTAACACATCGAGTGAAGCAGGGGTGTGCCCGCAAGAAGTAAGATCCACACCCTATTTCCCATTAGCATCCCCTCAGAGCAACCCCGACCAAGCGCATGCATAAGCAGACGTACCAAGGCCTCACCTCCGCCGAACCCGGGTCCTCGACGTATCCCAACAGCCTGTTAATAGACACCGGGCCGAGGAGGACAGTGCACACTCTGAGCACGAGGCAGAGGGCCATGGCTAGGAAGCCCGAGGCCCATATTTCCGCCACACCCCAAATGATGTGCCTCTCCTTCAGTCCCTGGGCGCGCCGGCTCTCCGGGTCGAGGCGGGGCATGGCCCGGCGGGAGAGGTACGAGGCTTGGTCGTAGTCGGCAAGAGGGGGGAGATGAGCGAGTTTCTCAGGATAGAGGGAGGCAGCGACGAATATGGGGTCGAGGAAGGACCAGAAGAGGACCGAGAGAGGGGAGGCGACTTGTTCTGGGTTCGGGGGGGTTGGGTGGAGAGGATCGGCAGGAGTGTAGAGGCGGGGCGTGAGGAGGGGGAGTAGGACGGCCGTGAGGGTGAGTAGGGTGCCGTTGGTGTAGAGGAGCCAAGGGGGATCGGCGGGCGTACCGCTGAACGTTAGCAAGGGGAGGAGATCGCGATATCCGAAGATGCTGAAGCAGGCAAGAAAGAGCAAGGTCGTGTGTCGCCGGCAGTGTTGGCGTCCTACAGGACCTAGAGCGAGAGAAAGGAAAGAGAGGACGGTGCTGTACGCCTTGTAGGTGTTAGCTCCTACTGAAGACGGCGGGGAGTGAGTGGGGCGTACGTATGCTACCCCCAGGCCGACCTCTGTCCACTGTTCATCCCCCTTCCCCCATTCTCTGACAACCACCGCACCCGTCACGCAGAACAGCGCCGCGCATCCAACAAACTTGAGTCCCATCATCCCATAGATCCCCAGCCCTCCACGAGCGACCACATGCGCCTTGACCCTGTCCGCAAGCCCGGTTGAGCTCCCAGGCAGCTGGGGCTCGTACACCGTCGGATAGGGGAGCCGTCTTTCTACGCGCACCTTTACAGATCGGAGATAGGCAAGCGCAGTCAGGAAGAGCAGGAGGAGGGAGACGCAGCAGAGGTAGAGAGGTATGAGCCTCAGGTCGAACCACACGTGCGTGTCCATCGGAGAGTCACCAACCTGCAGCTGCAGCTGGCTAAGGAAAGAGTCCATCTTGAGAGAGACGGGAAGTAGGAAAGATATCTGCAGTGATTGAGGATATGCATATTTAACCTTGTGGTCGTACATAGCCAGCAGCCAGCGTCGGACAGTCCGTTATCGCCGGAGAAGTCCAGCGTGCGAACAGAGCACAAGAACATTTGTATGGCATATCCTTGGTGTACGGAGTAAGGTCGTACGACTCTGATTGCCCATTTGCAGTGGAATTGGGAGTGCATTCAAAGATATGTATCGATATTGATCTTGTTATCAGCACACCGCATGGGTACATCGTTCAATCCAGTCCTACTCGGTCAAAATCCCATTCCAACCGACACTCGGTATCATCTTACACCATACATTACACATATATCAACATCAATATGGAGATATAACACATATTCGTAAACATGTTCACCGTTCTCTTCTCTTCCTTGTCGAAATCGCGCACTGGTCAGCTCAGACGTCCAATTCCTTTCTATACATTAACAAAGGGTAGTATCTCATGTACCGCTTTCGCACTTCGAGCCGTTTGTCGCAAGTCGTACAAAGTCGTTCTATCCCCATTTTACTCCCCCTAACCTCATTAATATTATACCCGGCCTCGCCCTTCTCCTTCCAAGAGGATACAACCTCCAGAACACACTACCGTTCTTTTTTCCCCTCCTCTTTCTTCCCGCCCCTCAGCTCCTCCCCAACCCTAGCCCTAGCCTGCGCCAGTGCGATCCCCAGCTCTACCCTCCCCTCTTCAGGTAAGCTAAACGCCTTGAGCAAGCTAAGGACGTCCGGTTCTGTAAGGAGGAGGTAGGGTGCTATCGGGTCTGGGTCTGTCTCTTTGGAGGAGGGTTTAGGGGGGTGTTTGGGGGAATGGGTTTCTGATGCAGGGGAGGGAGAGGTCGAAGCTATTAGAGCTGTTGGAGCGGGCGAGAGAGAGGAAGAGGAAGCAGGAGGAGAGGGGAACCCCGCATAGAGCTTATCCAACAACGGCGACGGGGTCTCCACGACCATATGTGCGCGTACAAGTTCCTCCAAATAGCTTGCAGCGCGCCACGCTACCCAGGCCAGCCCACCACACAACCCAAGCTCAAGTCAGCCAATATCCCCTACATGCAGCAGCAGGAGCAGGGACGCACAGCGATAATGACCCCAGGCGCGCCAAGCACAGTAGAAGAAGGGGATGTTAGGTATGACAGGGACGAGTGCGAAGGGTGCTGTGATGGGAAGGAAGATGAGGTAGATGAACGTCCATCGTCTATGTACTGGTGCGCGGTGGGAGACGAGAGATCGGAGATGTTCGGTCGGGGAAGGGAGGAAGGAGGGGTACAGCAACGAGATCTGTTCCCACTTAAGTACGGAAAGCGGGAAAAGGGAAAGGAAAGGAAAGACGCACGGTCCGCGCTTCTCCTCTCGCTCGAGCAGCACGTAGCGCTTCCTCCCTTTCTCCTCTCCTATCCCTGCCCAAGCTGGGCCCGAGAGCAGGCTCAAGACTGCTCAAAGCGAGCTCTTCGAAGTCTATCCTGCGGTGTATTGACTGACCGGCAGAATACAGCCTGTACTAGGGGTATCGTTAGCCTCTTCGGCGGTGTAAAAGGGGTCAGTGGCGTACCTTCCAACTCCTTGGTTCTGCACGTCCAAACCCTACCCAAGTGGTTGTCGCTGTCCCCAGTGCACGATGAAAGAGTGCTCTTGCGCGTGCTGTGAGTCCTCCTTGTGTACCTGTGGTGGATGAAGATTGAGTTGTGTGTTGTGTATGTGGGTAGTAGTATATGAGTGGAGTTAGATTTCCTACTTGTTTTGTGAGAGGGAGTGCTATGAGTCGCATACTTGCACTGGAGGGCATCGTAGTACACAAACCTATGAATGGGAGGAGGGCCGCGTCGACTTCGGGAGTAGCACGTGGAAGTAAGGGATCGAGTCACGTGATATTCCGGGAAATCACCGCACCGAATACTGAGTGAAAGAGTACTGCGGGGTATATAAAGTACTCATTCACTGTTTCACCTCATGCAATGTATCGTATCACCCCTCACTCTCACACACACCTCTGTGACGGTGATTTTGCCCAAATCCTCACCCCACGCACGTGACGCGGGAGCTATGGAAACTGTTCTTCGGACCCTAGCGCAGATCTCTCTCATTAACCATCGTCTTACTCCAGGGGAAACGGTGAACATGGAGTGAAGTTCTTGTCTCATTCTGCTGTACTCTACTTGTAACGGCCTATAGACGTACTAATCGGGGCGGAAGACGGGCGAGAGCTTTTTTGAACACTCTGCGGAGCTGGACCAGGGAGGATATGGGGAAAACCTTCCGAGGCCGTGCTCCGTACTTTTCGGGGACGACGCAGACCGATTCTGGAACGAAGCCACCATATCCAACACCCCTGCCTCTGAGATTGAAAGGGTGCTCCGGACGAACGGTCCGAGCCAGGAGTCTAGGGAGATGGCAACCACCAGCGCTAAGACGGGTTTCGAGATGCAGCCAATTTCCTATGGCATTGAATTCGAGGAATCAGAGATGCAGCTTCCAAGAGCATCGAGACTGTTACTGGATGAAGAAGAGAATTCAATCATAAAAAAAAACTCACTGAATATGGCTTTATGACGATGACCCAGCACTGAGGCTGTAACCGGCCATGTACTCAAACGTTTCTGACTGGTTTCTGACTGGTTTCTATGCCTTGGGTCACATATTTGTGATACGCTATTTGCTTATTTGTGATACACTGTATTGCTGCCTTCATAACTTTTCTGTTGTAGCACTCCATCTCGTGCACCACAATTTACATCGTGTGACACGCGTTTCGCGCTCGCGGGGAGGCGTCAAACGTAAGCAAATACCATTTTGAAACTGAGGAGCACCGTTTTGATTCCACACGCAGAAAGGAATTTGATGAATGAATACATCACGTGTCCTGCGATACATTCGGGAAGACGCGGGTTATGCCAAGAATGGCAGTGCCCATGCCTCCGAACGCCTTGTGTTGTTATTCTGGGAGCTCTCTTCTACCCAGTATCTTGATTTCGACGGCAGGCTCACTCAAGCTATGTGTGCAAGAATATGCATTGCGCTGCAAGGTATAAAGGTCGGCTGTGTGCGACTTTCACTGCCAACAATCCAATCCCACCCAGTAATACGCCACGATGCTCGCTGCTCTCGCACTGCTCGGTCTCGCCGCCACGCCCGCGCTTGGAATCAGCATAAGCCTCATCCTCCCTGACGAGAACGTCTGGACTCAGATGAACTACACGTAAGACCAGGTTTCGGAATGTCACGCCTTTTCTGACGCGTTGCTCATAGCATCACTGTGCCCCCTCCGGTGCCCTCAGGTGTGACACAGGGTCCTTGGTGGTACACCGCTGGCCTTCAGGCACCTGGTGGCATGCTTGCGCCGGGGTTGCAGTGGGGGGAGGATTCTGCTGCTGGCTTTGTTAACCCCAACGTCACATTCCCGAAAGTTTGGTGAGTCTCGCGCGAAAGGATTTCCTAGCTACCGACAACTTACGACGGGAACAGGTCCATGGTTCTTTGGACGCTGTGTGCTAACGACAAGACCGACTGTCACGATGCGATCAGCCAGGGTGTTTACGCGGACCTAGGTGCCAAGATTCGGAACACGGCTGTGTATGACAATGGCTTCTGGACCCAGCAGGCTGAAGTCATCTCTGGTGGTGGTCGGGGCGCATCAGTCAACCAGACGATCAGTGCTGCTTGTAGGTTTCTTGCTCCTTTCAACTGAAGAACTTGTGTTGATTCAGAACCGAATATAGCGTACTTCGACACGCAAACTTTGCCAGCGCCTGGCACTTCGTTTTTCCTTCTCGAGTCTGCCATTACTGGCCCTCAGTCCAGCGCCTGGAATTTCAACGTCACCTTCACCGACATCTCCCTCACCGCGCAGAATAGTACCGGCGTAGCATCCCTTTGCGGAGGGCAAACTTCGACCACGGACGGGAATGGATTTATCACCATTAATGGGTTTGAAATGTCAAGTGACGGCCTCACCTGCCACTGGGACAGCATGATTCTCTCTCCTTGAAACGGCTCGCTATGAGATAGTGATATTCTATATATATATGTAATTTACAAATAATGGCACGTAATTCATTGAAGTATTTCCTACAGTATCTGATGGGGAACAGCGCCTGTCCTTGCGATCAATAGTAACATGTGGTATGGAAAGTCAGAAGGGACAGCCCAGGATGGACGCGTTGAAATTGCATGGGTCCAAGGAGACCCAAACGGGTCTCAATTATTTTTGTCATTTATGTAATCAATCTGGACTTAGTCAGCATAGCGAGTTAGCTGAATAACCGCAGTTCTAGTACTAGTACTAGTACTATAGTACCAGTACTTTGAGGACAGAAATAAATATTTTTATACAAAGCGTGCATTATTGAATTGCTGAGATGGGAAATGATAGTGGTGTGGTTGTGTTTGTTACTCAAATGGCTCTCACAATGAACATGGTATGGGCATCACATTCAATTCCAAGCACAATGAGCATCTCTAAAGCTATTGCATCATCCCATTACTCCCCCTTTGGCTTGAAAGAATTGATCAAAGTGGTGAACACTTTGACTGGGCTCACACCATGAGCCAGCCAGATGATAGAGAAGACTATGAAAGTAGTCAGAAACATAGATGCTGTTGAAATGAGATACTCACTGAAGCCCGCCAGTATCTTCCACTTGTTTTTCAAAACAACAGCCTTAAACTCGTCAGCCACCACCTTGCTCACCACTGCACACACCCAAACAACGAGCCCCAACAGCCTCATCAGCCCTATCCACTAAAAGTCCTTGTATGTATGCTGCCTCCACCATTTCACCAGATCCTCTGCACATGCCTTAGCATCAGCATCAAGGAAGCCATCCTTCATGCCTTGAATGTGGGTGCAGAAGACATCCCACATGTGCAAACCAGCAGCAGAGAGCTTGCTGTACTTCTCTTTGCAGGATGGCTCAAAAGTCTTCTTGCCAGCAGTGGCAGCACCATTTGATTTAGTCTGAAGAAATCATCAGCCCTTCACCAGGGTAGTGAACACAACCACCAGATGGTGGTTGTATGTGTTCTCCAACAGGTAGCAAACACAACCACACAAGAGTGGTTGTGTCTATCCTGCCAAAGAGCACATCAAGTGGTACTCACCTCCTTCCTCCCCACTCTCCCCTCCTCCAGCTCCTCCAACTCAACACCCTCCTCATCCTCTATGCGTGCAGCCCTCCAAGTGGCCACCAGATGCTCTCCCTGCATGCACAGCATGGTAACAATACCATACTCAGCATGCATGAGGCAATGCCAAGACAGCTGCTGAACAACCCCACCTCTGGTGGGGTGTGTCAGGCCAGTATTCCCACGGTTATTTTTGGGCCTTAGAGACCATTGCACAGCACTACAGACCCTCACAACGCAGGACAATGCACCCCAGCAATGAGTCTTGACTCCCACTGATATTTGGCATAGCAACTACTACAATTTCCCAAGCAACAGGACCCCTTGGATATTCAGCATGATGACTGCGGGTTTCCCCTGCAACAGGATTGACCCACATGGATATTTGGCATGCCAATGCCTGCCTAGGAGAGGTATCCAGAGACCGGATTAGTATAGAGTATGGCTTTTAGTAGCTAGTATAAGTAGTTTCCAGAAACTCCTGTATCTAGCTTATTCTGCCCCTTTTCCATTAGACTTATACAGATCTGATTATCCCCATACTGGATAGGCAGCATCATCTTGACTTAGCATATTTGACTTGACTGGATGTACTCAACCAGATGGAGACTGACCTCCAAATTATTACAGACTGACTTTTGGTAGCTCAGCTACAGGCTTGACTCCCACCTTTCTACTGACTTTTCCCTTCTCTCCCCTCTTTCCCTAGTGAGTTCTTGCACACCACCCATCAGACCAATATTTTGGATACCTCTTGGGTTGGATCACCATGTGGCCTCATTGACCACCAGCTCAACTTTGCCGCCCATATTGCTTGTCTTCTTGCATTGGTGCAGCTTTATGCTAGCAAGGGAGCCTGTTGAGCTGCGAGATGGGACCTTCTTGCTGTTGGCAGCCTTGACATTGCTGATGGTTGCCTTGCTCAGGCTCAGCAGGACCTGGTCTGCATCTTTGCTGCCTTGGGAGATGAGGGGCAAAGAGTCAGTATCTGAGTCCAAGTCCATATCTTGTTGTTTGGAGGTATAACTGTTGGCAGTATTAGGGAGATGATGGTGGTTTGTCAAGAAGAGCATTCCATCTTGAGTTTAGCTGTAGCATGGAAAACACATGGCCGGATTTCCGGGGTTGTTCATCTGGTCTATTCTGACTGCCACCAAATAGGAGAACTCAACACAAAACCTACTTAGCTCTGCATCAGTCCCCCAAGTAACATCAAAACTAGCTCAGGAGATGCAGGACACTTACCAACAACTATTATCCATCTATGCTCAACAATAACAAGTAATTTAAAAAGGAGAGTTATCAATAATTGTGGAATTGGAGAACAATAGTAGCACAGGAGATAATTATCCCTGAGGTGGGGTAACACACAAGGTACACGAGGTGGCAAAGTCACATGGTACACCACCTTCTATGCTGATGTATCAGCTGCTCCATGCTTCACTCCCCTCCTTGCACAACAACCACATCAATAAACACATAAACACAACATCCAGTCCATTGCACTCTAGATACAATGGCAAAATGCCTTCACCAGACTCAGGTAAGTCTCCTCACTTGACTGAGTTGGAAAGCAGGCTGAATCTCACTCAGATGATGATCCTGGATGGCCATCCAAGGCCCCACCCAACTCATATCCAATCAAGAGCCTTGTCAGCTCATATGGTCACCCAGTCTCTTCTGTATCTTGTGAGGATTTAGTTGTAAGAGAGGCAGGAGGAGAGGCTGGAGCACCAGGTAGCAAACACAACCACACCACTTCTGCTGCCAAGGGTGGTGGGATGGGTGGTAGAGATGTGGGAGGGGAGAGGGTGAGAAAGGGTAAAAAACACAACTGTTAGGGCAACACAGGCTGACTAAGTCTGCTCACCTAAGAGTGCCAAGAGTCTAAGCAGGCAACAAGGAAGTGGAGTAGACCTGATGACTAAGACCTATCTACAGTATAGGTACCTGTGGATGATCCTAAGAGACCAAGTCTGAAGAGACAGTCCCCAGGCAGAGTAGGCCTTATATTTATACCTCTGTGGTGGAACCTGCTAGAACATCTTGTTTACTCAGCCTAGGTCAGGTGATC